TTCTTATTTTCTCTTGTACCATGTGTTTTAAAACTTGTACCTTAATTGTTTTGTATTTTTTTTAATTGAGTGAGTTGAGTGGATTCAAAAAGATAGGATTTCCGTGTGTTTTGGATTCGGAAAGATGAAGAAAAATAAAAGAGAAAAAGTGATGTGACAGTGGGTTCGATGGGTTGGGAGGGAACGACTCCCTCCTCCCTAAGGAGTCCATTTTGGGATATTTCATGCGACAAACTACACATTACTATTATTAATTTGTTGTTAGGATGATCAATGTTTTTATTATTTTTTATTATTTTGACAAATGTTATAATGATTACTTTAGGAAGTGGATTACAAAACGCATGAGTTGCTTCATATTCTAGTAGAGTTGAGTTATTTGTGATAGTTGGTACACCATATGTAAATACCATTATTATGCCTTATAATGATTATTTTAGGATGTGTATTACTTCAAAATGCCTAGAGCAACCATGAACCACATATGATTCGAGGTGAGTTGAGATATTTATGAAAGTTTTATACATATCAAATAGTTACAACTATTACAGAATATCTAAGGATGCCGTAAAATGTGTATTTTAGGATGAGAATTACGTTAGAATACTGTGATAACAATGTTAGATGCCACATACATAAGCAAAACCAAGACATCAATCAACAAATATTAACATGTAACCTTTTAAAATGGTCAAAAGTAAAGATTTACCGGTTTAAATTGGAAAAACATGTTGGTTTTTATTGGCAAATATTGAAACTTTAATTGTAATTAACCTTAAGAAATGGAAGTGGTGTCACGTTACTTAATGTGATCTATCAGACTATCACGTTACTTATTGATTGTCAAAAAGATATTGATTCGTACACAACAATTTTTAGCTATACATAACAAATTGTGTTTTACATAATTGTACAATACAATCATCCAAAACATAAATTGTTGTATATGACTAAAAATTGTTGTGTACAAATCATTATTTTTGTCAAAAAGGTAGAAAAATAAAAAATTAGGATAAAAGGTTAATGTTATAAGAAAACAATTTTTTTTTTTTTTTGATAAACTAGGAATTTTTATTTCATTATTAGAGATCATGGTAGATTTGTAGTGCTTTAAAAGTAAATCGGGAATTTTGGAGTCAATGATCGATTTTCTACACCCGTAGAGTAATAGTCGTTAAACTGAATCGCATCGCTACAACTCATCGTCAGTCCATCGTCTTCTTCATCTTGCTCTACATTATATTATGGCGGAAATTTCGAAGCTTTAAACCCAAAACCTCATCTCCCATGGCTAAACCCCTGTTGAAATCTCGCACGATCCTCGAACCTTTTGCACAATTCAACGCATCGTCATCATCAATTCGATCTCTAGCTCTTTTTTCCACATCTCCTTCCGAAACCCTAATATACGTCGGCACTGTCTCCGGTAAACTCCTCCTACTCTCTCTTCATCATCCCAATTCCAATTCTAGTAGTAGTCATAACCAAGAGAGTAGTAGTAACAATGAGAACAGAGATAACGATGATCAAATTAAATTTGTGCGGCATATGTTGATAAGCGACTGTGCAGTAGAATCAATACATGTATTTGGTGAAATTGAGAAGGTTTTAGTTGTTTCCGACGGGTTTATACATTTTGTTGATTTAGAATTAGTTAAACCTGTGAAAAAGATCGGTGCTCTGAAAGATGTTAGTTTTGTTGCTAGGAGGTTGAGGAGTAAAGGAAATGAGGGTTTCACAAAGTTAACCGTGGGAGGTGGAGCAGATGCAAGTGGCGGCTCGAGTTTCTTGCAGAGGTTTGGTGGTGGTGGTGGTGGTGGCAGGTTAAACGGTGGTGTTGTGAATGATTTACCTATTGATGATAACTGTGTTTTTGCTGCTGCTGTTGGGAAGAAACTGATTTTAGTGGGGCTTGTTGGTAGGAGTAATGAGAGTTATGATAGTGTTGCAGGTACTCTTGTGACCATGAAAGAGATTCAATGTGTTGATTTAGTTAAAGAGATGGTCTGGATTGATGATTCCATTGTTGTGGGTAGTTCAAGTGGTTATTATTTGTGTTCATGTGTTACAGGTCATTGTGGTTTGATCTTTTCATTGCCAGACATGAGTACACCATGTCTTAAGGTTTTAAAAAAAGAGTATAAAGTTCTTATGCTTGTTGACAATGTTGGGATTATTGTTGACTCTCAAGGGCAACCAGTGGGTGGAAGTTTGGTCTTTCATGGATCTCCAGATGGTATAGGGGAGATAGGCACAAGTGTCATTTCTCTTCACAATGGAAGAATGGAGTTGTATCTTAAAAAATCAGGGAAATGTGTTCAGAAGATTGTGTTTTCAGTAGAAGGAACTGGTCAACGTGTCATAGCAGATGATGAAGATGAAACTGGCAAGGTGGTAGTTGTAGCAACATCATCCAAGGTAATTTGCTACTTGAAAGTACCCTCTGAAGAACAAATTAAGGTTTTTTTGAGAAAGAAGGATTTCAAGGAGGCAATTTCTTTGGTTGAGGAGCTTCATGATGATGGTGAAATAACAAAGGAAGCAATGTCATTTGTTCATGCTCAAGTGGGATTCTTGTTAATGTTTGACTTGCATTTTGAAGAAGCAGTTGACCACTTTCTATTATCAGAAACCATGCAGCCTTCTGAGATCTTTCCATTCATCATGCCAGATCCAAATCGTTGGTCATTGCTGGTATGCTTACATATTTAATTAATAATTGATATATTTTCATTAATAAAAAATAATATTACTGAAATTAAAGTTGTTTTCAGGTACCTAGGAATCGTTATTGGGGTTTACATCCTCCACCTGCCCCTTTGGAAACTGTTATTGACAATGGATTGATAGCTATTCAAAGAGCTATTTTTCTTAAAAAAGCAGGTTTGGAGACAGCTGTAGATGATGATTTCCTTTTGAATCCTCCAAATAGAGATGATTTAATGGACTCTGCTATAAAAAACTTAATCAGGTTTATATACTCTTGACTGTTATTAACTTATTTGTTTCAAGAAGTTTATTTCTTCGATTTGATTTTATCACAACAAATTCAACTGTTCTTATTTTACCCTTTTCTTTAACTTTATAGGTACTTAAAGGCTTCACGTGAGAAAGAGCTGACATCATCTGTGAGGGAGGGAGTTGACACGTTATTAATGTATCTTTATAGAGCTCTGAATTTAGTTGATGAAATGGAGAGTCTTGCTTCTTCTGAAAACTGGTGCATAGTGGTATGGTTGTAATTATTTTATTCAGAATTGAGAAAAGATAATTAATAAAAACATTATTAAACTAAGTAGTTTTAATGGGCAATGCAGGAAGAGTTGGAAACTTTACTGAATGAGTCAGGGCATTTAAGGACACTTGCTTTTCTTTGTGAAAGCAAAGGGATGAGTTCTAAGGCTCTTGCCATTTGGAGAATATTGGCAAGAAACTATTCATCCGGATTTTGGAAGGACCAAACACGGATAAATGAAACAAGTGGGGAAGGTGTAAACATTATATCCGGTAAAGAGACTGCAGCAACTGAAGCTTCAAGGATTCTTGAGGAATTATCTGATAAAGATCTCATTCTGCAACATCTTGGATGGGTATGCTTTTAAACAATCAATCCCTCTTTTCTTTTTGAATTAAAGTTTACATTTTTCTTGCTCATGGAAAGTGGAAACCTTTTTTTTTTTTTTTATAAATTAGATTGCAGATATTAACCAGGTGCTTGCTGTTCGAGTATTGACATCTGAAAAAAGGAGTCATCAGCTTCCACCAAGTGATGTAATTGCTGCAATTGACACGAAAAAAACTGAAATTCTTCAAAGGTAATGAGATTTTCTGGTTTTGATTTATGAATATTGTTGGTTCTGATCTTTTCTGATGTTGTTTACAAATTTGCAGATATCTGCAATGGTTGATTGAAGAACAAGACTCTGATGATCCTCAGTTTCATACATCATATGCTCTTTTACTTACTAAATCAGCACTTGAAAGTTATGAAACAGAAATTTCATCTGAAGCTGGAACCTCAAAGCAGATTAATGGTTTGGAGCCTGAAAAGCAATCCATATTCCAAAATCCTGTGAGAGAGAGACTGCAATTCTTCTTACAGTCTTCAGATCTTTATGACCCTGAAGAAGTTCTTGATTTGATACAAGAATCAGAATTATGGTTGGAAAAGGTCTGTTATAACGGTGTGTAATACTAAGATTAAAAAGTTATTCAAAAAGGAATTGTTTCAGTTTATGTGATAGAAAGTTTGTGTTTTGAAAATATGTTTTCATGGTCTTTTTTGCAGGCTATTCTTTATCGAAAACTAGGGCAAGAAACATTGGTGCTCCAGATCCTAGCTGTGTAAGTTTTTTCACAAACTTCAAAACTTTTTTCACAATTTCTCAAGCTCACAATTTATATAATAAAAAATGTTCAGAAAATTGGAGGACAATGATGCTGCTGAACACTATTGTGCTGAAATTGGAAGACCAGATGCTTATATGCAGTTGGTCCCTTCTCTTTCTCTCTCTCTCTCTCTCTCTCACACACACACACACACACATACACATGTTGGA